CTTCTCCCTTGATGGTCCTAGGGACCTTCGCTCCTAGACTGAAAAGTCAATCACTCCCCTCCTTGCTATAAAACGTCCACCCTTAAATTTCCAACCCTCACAGTCAGTCCTGGTAACAATTATTCACTATTGTATCACAAGACCCGTCTGTATTTCGTTGCATCAGCCCCGCCTAGTCAGATTGAATACTACTCACTGGAGATTCTACCTTCCTCCAGGACCTCTGGGTCTAGGTTCCCTCTTGAAAGCTTGTAAGCCAGTCACTTCTTGCCTTTGTAGCCCCCCACCCCCCATTTTGGGTAGCCAATGTCCACGTTGCCCATCCCTGTCTACTCTGTGTGTGGAGGGGGTGGAAATGATTCTTGCTGTAAGGACTTGTTCCCTCTTTGGAGCTACTGCTTCTATAGGTGTAGAATTTACATTCTTAATGGTCCCATCTTTTGTAGGGTTTGATTGAGTTCCTGAAATTATGGATCTGGTGATGAAGAAATCCCCATAGTGCCTGGTGACCTTGGTATCTGTGATGTGGACCATGTCCATATCATTATAGAAGCCCACCTTGGAGGCTGGCTGAAATTCACGATCTAAGGCAGAGATGCCACTGGTCCACACCAGGTTCTTCATTTTGGGCTTGAGGAGCAGAAGCCAGATTCAGAACCCCTGCTCTTTAAGGATCAGGAAGCTGGCCAGCTTGGCTGCAGGCGCGGTAGTACAGAACTTGAGGAAGCTGCGGATGTTTGAGAGTTGGGTCTGCTGCTGCTCATCAGAAAACATCTTCAGCTGCTGCATGAAAGGCTTCTTGTGGTAGTTGGGGTGCATGTTACTGTAGTTAGGCACCATAGGAGACAGAATTTGGGGCAGGAGTAATTAAAACGTTCCTCGTAGACCTGTGAGCCATCCTTCTGCACGCACAGCATATTGTCCCCATATTTCTCCTGCAGTTGTGGAGGTGAATGCTCTCGCCTGTGTGCATAGGGTACAAGGGGTGTGTGTGTGTGTGGCCAGTACTGTGTGCATGTGCTCATTCTGCTGGTTAATCATCTCCTACTTATATGTGGTCCTCTGAAACATGCTTGAAGGATGTTGGCAAAGACCTGGATGGCATACTGGCAGTGGAGCATCAAGTACACAAACTTGATATAATAGTATGTGGTGACCTGGCACTTGGACACCTAGGAATACATGCTCTTCTTGTTCAGCTCGATACTCTCCAGCACCTTGATAGTCTGGTAGTAAGTGCAAGCGCAGAAGCCCCATCAGACTGAAGTAGCCAAGCATCTTGTAGAGGGAGTGTTGTCTGTACTCCCTAGCCATACTCTTGGGGTTATCTCCACTTGTGTACACTTCCAACTGAAGGTTGATGTTGGATTAGTCTACCAGGGAATGAAGGACATTGAGGACACTGAACATTCCAGATTTGGGGACTGAAATTAAGGAAGTCCATCTCCAACTTTTTCGTGGTTTTAAAGGGGTACTGACTAAATGACTCTAACTGGTAGACGAACTCATTGGTTGTTCAAAGGAAGCAGGACCATCAACATTAAGAATGTAGTTGGAGGTTATAATTGTAATAGGATTCAACCTTCTGCTCCAAAGAGGCTGCCCCCACTGACTGTGGCATGTATGTGCCTGTAGTATAATTGTTTGCCAACATATGAAGCAATGGCTTCAGTCTCCAGCCAAGGTTCTTGAAGATTCTTTCCGTCAGCTCGGTCTAGCTGTTCTCATAGATGTCCTGGATCTCATACACCTTCTGGTCAATGACATCGCTGGAGACATGACTGACCTCTAACTCATACACCTTCTGGTCAATCAAATCCAAGACCATTTTATGGAAATACTGAACGAAATGTTTAATCACTTCAGGGATCACCTGATAGGTCTGCTGTTCATACCGACGTTCATAAGCCAGGTCCTGCTTTGGAGTTCCTGTGTGCATGTCATAGTTTCCCGGGTAAGCACAGGGTTCACAGGCCGCCTGAGACTCATCAGTGGGATAATACATGGCTGTGGCACTCAGGAACACGGCTGGAGATCTCACCTGTTTTCTTGGAGATCTGGACCTGAATCCTACAAATTTCATGCCTGTAGAACTCCATGAGGCTCAGGGATTTGTGTCTCCTACATGAGGAGGCAAGCATCCCTGCACAACCAGGGAAAGTAAAGGAGGGAAAAATAGCACCAAGTTGTGTTTTGATGGGTTAGCTTGTGGATAAACGGTTTAGAGGGCTAAAAGTAAATGGATTAGGGCTACAGGCTAGGAGAAAGAGCAATTAGAAACTAAAATCTACATGGAAAAATGGCCTAAAAAGTCACATTTCTGTCAAGTCAATTTACAAAACTCAATCACCCAGAGACAAAGAAATGTGGCTCTTTAAGTGTCAATAGTATTAAGTGATAGAGATTGTAGAAATCATAAAGAGTAATTAACTAAAAACCAGAGATACCATTACTCATTCGGGAGCAATCTCTCTTTCAAAGTGAGAAACCATTTGCATCCTCTGGGGATGTTTTATACTCCAATCTTTATTCCCCAGGTTCAGGGCCTCTGTGCCCTTCAAATTCTAAGTGGTGCTGTTATTTCCTGTTAATAGTCCCTACCCAGCCTTTTGTAGAAAGCCATCGGGAGAACAGAAAAAGCTGAGGTTAAAGGAAAGCCCTTGTTCCAAGACCTCAGTTCTTCCCAGTCAATGTCAACTTCTCAAAGGACTGGATAGTGTCAAGGTTCAAGCCTTGTTTTATCCTAAACCAAGAAACATGCTGGTGAGGTGGAAGAGACTGGGCTAATTTTGAGGCATGTGGATGTGATTATCCAAAGGGCTTAGGTGTCACCTGTGAATATGTTGGAGGGGTGAAGAGCAGCTGGCATGCCCATATATATTTGCTCAGGCCAGGAACTGCAAAAGCACCATGCTCTTTGCAAAACCCCCTATACTCTAAAAGGTTCTGCAATAAACCACTTTCACATTATTTAACCCAATCTTTCCAAAACATTTTTGAGCATGGGGTCTTATTCTCAAAGTATCTAACAATATATGTGGGAAATAGTGTTCTGTGAAATATGCCCTAGGAAACCTCAACTCATAGGAAAAAAGTACATGAGGTACAAACACTGTGGGATTTAGACCCTACTAATTCTGCACCTTGATTGTTGGCTGCTCCCCATTCATTTCTAGCCACACTGAAGTTCTCTGGATCGTGAAACACAACATGCTTTCAAGCTGGTGCCTACTAATTTTTTCCTTGGAATGTATGCCTTTATCTACCTGGCAAAGTCCTACTCATTCTCTAAGTTCTCATTTGAGAGTAATCATATAATCTGTGAAACTTCTTTTCTTCTCCCAGGACATTAAATTGCTTCCTCTTGTGTTTCCAGCCCACTTTATTTAAACTTCAGTCACTGCATTAAAAGTAATTGGTTTGACAGCTTTATTATCCTGCTGGTTCCTTCATTAACGAGCTAAGTAAATCTTTGGCATGTGCTTACTTAAAAAAAGAAAGGTAATTGATCTGAGAAGGTCTTTTCTACTGGCCTATATGTTTCCTGGTAGCGTAGTGGTTATGAATCGGGCTGCGAACCTTAAGGTCAGCAGTTCGAAACTACCAGCTTTCTGCGGGAGAAAGGTGAGACTTTCTGCTCCCGTAAAGATTTACAGCCTCGGAAACCCTATACAGGGCCACTATGAGTTGGAACCGACTGCACAGCACACAACCACCATCACCATACATTTCCTGAGTCTTGGTGTGGCACTGTGGGTTAATGCGCTGGATTGCAAAGTTGGTTTGAACTGCAAGGTCGGTGGTTCAAGCTCATCAGCTGCTCCTCAGAAACCCTACACAGGGCCACTACGGGTTGGAACCGACTTGACGGCCCTTAACAACAACATACATTTCCTAAGATGGCGAGGACAGTGACTTACTTTTCTTTGTCCCCAGCAACAACTATCATGCCTACCACATAACAAAGGTTGGTGTGTTTGCTGAATGGTTGTGCCAAAAACCAATGATATAACACCCTCCCTCTCTTACAACTCAAGAAAAATAGACGGTGAAAGTTTGTGAGCCAAAAGTGTAAAACCAAACATGTTCCGAAAGGGTAGAAGCTGTGAAGACCTCTTGAGATTTAAAAAAGACACATGCCACTCTCCAGTGCCAGATGGAATTCATCAGTGCCTGTCTGTGTGCTGGACACGGTCACCCATGATCCAGGAAGACAGCAACATGCCCTAGAAAAAAAAGGCAATCAATAGCCTTTCTTAATGACCCTGTCCATAAAGGGAAAGACAGACAAATAAAACAGACTCATTAAAGAAGATTCAGTATCATGGTCCACATCCCACCTAGTTTCTCATGCTCCTTCTGAAGTTGAGTTTGATGCAGCATTGAAAGCAATTTCATTTCTACCAGTTGAGACTGCTCTAAATCTGCCCACTTCAGGAGCCCTGAGTGTAGGAACCGCTGCTCAGAAAAGTGCTTTAGGCAGGAGGTAGAACAGCCACAGGCTCTGTCATTAAACCGTATATTCTTTTAGATCTTATTTATTACCTCCAGGCTGTTCTGCTTCTAGTAGGGACAAAATATTTGCTACTGATAATTATTTTCTGTTATTTTCATGGGAGTGAGTAAACCTCCCTCTAGAAAACAAAACAACAAAAAAGCAGAAAGTGAACAAAAAAACCCCCAAAGTAAACAGCTTCTCAGAAGTTTAAGTGGCCACATCATGCCTTGGTTTGATATATACTGATCAAACCACAAAGAAAGGACAGAAATAAATCCAGTTCACATGGCTCTTGTAAAAAGGCATCTATTTGGCTTTTAATACAAAACGACTCAGAAATACAGGTAGGAATATCATACAAGCCAGTTACCCACCAAAAAAAAAAGAAATAAAAAACAACCCAAAAGGTGAAAACATTTTAGCCACATTCTCTTCCGTCTGGTTTAGAAAGCAGGAAACAACAAACCAATGCCAGTTCATTTAAAGACTTACTTAAAAAATAAAACAAGAAACTATCAAAATCTGGCAGGTGGTTCTTAAGAGGCCACTAGGAGCTTGCCTTAATCATCCTGGTGAAATGGGATACATGTGGTCAATGAATATGGCCACTGTCTCCTCTGTTTCTTGCTAGTAATGGTCTTCATCTGGAGGGAGGATGTTGGCCTGGGCACCAATTGATGTCATTCATACAGCCTGAGGTCTCAAGGTCAAATTGCCTTGAAATGTTCCATTCCGTATCTTCATTGAATCTCCCCCATATACAGTCTCTTGTCACTGGATGCTGAGAGAACTGAGGGGAATAAAACAGAGAAGATAGCTGGAAATAAGGAAGGCTCAGAGAAGACTTGGTGCTCAAGGGCTCTTGTGTCAAGTGCCAATTTTGGCACAGAAGAGCAATTGGACTTAGCTTGACTTTCCCTCCTCCTAAACACCATTCATAGGAAACTGCAGCCTAGTTCTGTAATCTAAGCCCTTTCAAAACTGTAACAATGATTGTGATAATTTATTTGGGAAATCAATTATCAGACTCTAATTCCTGATGTGCTCTGGCAGTCCCTGGGTGGTGCAAACAGTTTCAGGCTCAACTACTAGTTGAAACACTGAAGGTAGAGATGCCTTGGAAGACAGGCCAGCGATCTACTTCTGAAGGGTCCCAGCCTTGAAAACTTCAGTAGCAGTTCCACTCTGCATGCATGGAGTTGTCATGAGTCACAACTGACTCAGTGGCACCTGACAACAACTCATCATTCAAGCCTAAGAAAAAGACCTTCTCAGTCATTCTACAAGAGAGGAATCAAGGTCTGTGACAGTTTTTTTGTAAGTACGTTTCTGGTTGTTATACTCAGTATTAAACATTCTCCTTAAATTCAAGGAGCTAGATTTAGTTTATATTACCAATAAAATTTAAGTACATCTGTAAATTATATTTGAATATTAATAAGTATCACTATTATTCAAACACATCATTAAAACACAGGCTTGAAGCAAGTAAACACAAGTACTATAAACAGACTAACCTCCTTTTGAGATGGAAGTTGAAAAAAAAAAAGGGAGCATAACTCTTACCTCACCATTTAGGACAACATGGTGAGACTGTCATTCTGATAAAGACTTTGCATGGAAAGTACATAAAACAAATCTACCTCAGCCTCTGATTTACCAGGATGCCTCTGAAGGGATCCCCATAGCTCCCCTCTCCCATAGTCAGGACAAACTTACTGATGGGCTCATCGGGGTGAAAAGCTACTTCATTGATGGAGCCAGCATGGCCGGGCAGCTTGTATAGAATTCTTCTACTTGTGGTATCCCACACATACACAAACCTGCAAAGTATCACAATAAAGTTTTAGTCCTCCAAAAGCTGGTGGAAGGGCAGAGGCAAGGCTCTAAAATAGATTTTACTGTGGCAACAAAAACACCCCCTCCCCCAACACACATACATGAGAAATATGAAATTTGTCATTTCAAGCATTTTTAAGTAAACATCTCAGTGACACTAATGACATTCACCATGTTGTATAATCAAATAGAAACTGAGGACCCCTTCCGCTCCTCCAATAGTGACTGCTAATCACTAATGAACTTTTGTCTTTCTGCATTGGTCTAACCGAGATACTTCTAATAAGTGGGACCATATACTAACTTTAGTGTTTGACTTGTTTCATTTTGCCTAAGGTTTTCAAGATTTACTCATGTAGTGTGTATCAGAACTGCATTGCTCTTTATGGTTAAATAACATTGAGGCACAGCTTTTTAAGGTGAGTGGAAGCAACAATTTGCTTATTCACCCCACATTTATTGAGCTGTGCTCTGCTCTCAGAAAATAGGAATACAGAGTTTGAATAAGACATGGACCTTGTCCTTAAGCAAATGAGTGAGTTAATAGGCAAAGCTAAAAACAAACTTGTATTTTCAAGCAAAAGCTTTTGAAATACAAAAGAATATGGCAAGAAAACATAAAATATGTTCAGTATTGTCCCTTTTCTTACCACCCTCAACCTTCCTAGCCAAAGTGGAGACAAAAGGAGTTCCTCTCATGCTCAATCAAGAGTCATTTTAGCTGAAGGTTAAAATAAAGAGGCATTATCTTCATACGACCATGTAACTAATAACCTGTTGGTCAATTTAAAGATGATGGATTGTTGCCACAGTGGCTGTAAGAGTGGGCTCCAACAGAACAACAATGATGAGGGTGCAGGACCGCACAGGGTTGCTTTAAAGAGTGACAGTTTCCTTCATTTATCATGGTGCTGTGTATTGGTCCAGTTGTCAGGATTTTTGTTCTGTTTACATTGAAGTGCAATCCATACTGAAAGCTGTAGTCTTTGATCTTCATCAGTAAATGTTTCAAGTCCTCTTCACTTTCAGTAAGGAAGGTTGTATCATCTATGCATGTTCTTCTTCATATAGTCCAGTTTCTTAAGATTATTTGCTCAGCATCAGATAGATTCAGTAAGTATGGTGAAAACATACAACTCGGACACATACTTTTCCTGATTTTAAACCATGAAATATCCCCTTGCTATGTTGGTAGCATAGTGGTTACGAATCGGGCAGTGAACGGCAAGGTCAGCAGTTCGAAACTACCAGCTGTTCCATGGGAGAAAGATGAGGCTTCCTGCTCCTGTAAAGATTTACAGCCTCGAAAACCCTGTATAGGGTTGCTATGGGTCAGAATCGACTTGACAGCACTTAACAACAACAACATAATGCAGAAAGATGAGCCCCTCAGGTTGGAAGACACTCAAAAATGACAGGGAAAGGATTGCTTCCTCAAAGTACAATTAACAATGATGACGTAAATGGAGTAAAGTTTTCAGGACATTCATTTACTGACGGGACACAACTCAAAATGAGGAGAAACAGCTATAAACATCTAAGTCATTGTATTTTTTTCTAGTCTCATATGCATGTGAAAATTGCACAATGAATATTATGGAAAACCATAGAAAAATTGATGCATTTGAGTTACAGTGTTGGTGAAAAATATTAAAAGTATCATGAACTGTCAGAAGAACAAAAAATCTGTGTTGGAAGAAATTCAGCCAGCATGCTCCTTAGAAGCCAGAGATCCTTAGAAGCCAGGATGGCGAGACTGTTTCTTATACTTTGGACATATTTTGAAGAGAGACAAGTCCCTAGATAAGGATATCTTGCTTAGTAAAGTGAAGGGTTAGAGAAAAAGAAGAAGACTCCAACGAGATGGGGTGGCACCGTGGCAGCAGCAATGACTGTAAGGATGGTGCAGGGCCTGGGCAGTGTTTAGTGCTGTTGCACATAAGGTTGCTATGAGTTGGAGCCGACTCAATAGCACCAAACAACAACACATTGTTAAAATGAATAGACTATCAAAACAGAACCCCCTGCAGTCAGTAGAGGAATAAATCACTTCTGGCAGAGACTGGCCAGTTTTCCTGCAGTCCTGATAGAACTGTTTGGAGGCTTTCAAGTCTGCACATGAGGAGCTGATTTTTAAGCAGAAGGGGGAAATTTTGCCAAATCCAGGGCAAGTTGAAAAACAGTTTGCTGAGAAGGAGGGATACACTTCCCAGGCACATGAAAGTCAGCAGAACCCCAGATCTCCAAGGGCTCACTTCAAGGCTTCATTCTCAATGGCTGTCAATTAGATGCTAAATTTAGAGGGGTTCCTTGTCCTCTTCTTACTTTGGCATGGCAACCTTCAGCGGGAACTAGGGCCCTTACGAAACACAGCTGCTGTTGTCTTAGGGCTAACTGGCGAGGTGGTCTGTGAAATCTGGACAACCCACAGCAGGTAGAGAGGCAGGTTTACCCCAGACTAGAGTGTTATTTCCGTAAAGTTGAAAGGAACAGTGGGGAAGGGTAAGAGGGGAGAGAGGGTACAGCAAAATCAGAAAGGACCAATGTTATAAGAAAACTGATCTTGTCTGGGGGAAAAAAAGTTTACACAAATATAAATCTTAATCTTTTCTGAAAATGACAGAAAACTACTTAGAATGTTTTTTATTGCCAGAATAAAACACACCTTAGTCTGTGGATCTACTTCTTGTGATCTTTATTCAGTAACCTAATGACTGAAAGCTCCCTCCCCACTTTTCATTTTCTTCTTCAGAGAACTCGCTCAAGACTGAAAAACAAATGTGACACTTTCTCACCAGAAAATACTGGAGTAGTTGTGTGTGTGTGTGAGGACTCTGCAATGGACAGGTTATGTCAGCATTATTCACAAATGGAACATTAGGGTTCAGAATGACAACGAGTCTTCTCTATGGTAGTATTGCTGTTGTTAAGTGCCATCAAGTAGGAGCCGACTCATAGTGACCCTGTATAGGGTTTATGAGGAGAGGCTGGTGAGTTTGAACCACTGCCCTTTCAGCTCAAACCTACCTTATGGTTGCTCCCATAGCACCACACCAGGACTCCATGGGAATATGAAGTAGCATTACTCTAAAACAGTATGAGGGCCCCTAATAGGAGAAAACACTGGAATTTGTTGAAAGCCCTGGCTAGTCTAGAGAAGTTTCCAGCTGAAAGAATCGTGTTTGTTTCAGTCGGTAGCTGAAGCACTAACGGTGAGAAAAATGGGCTAAGCTACAAAGGGATCAAGACATTCCCTAATGATAGGTAAATCCAGGATTCGTCACCAGAGCAATTCATCATTCTCTACCATATCATATTTGTAGTCTATCAGCCCTGGCACCTGACACCCCTATTCAACCTCTGAATCCTTCCCAAACATAGGTCACCACAGATGCACCACACAAAATAACATCTTGACAGAATTCTCTCCTTACATTTGTAGTTCACCATATAATGCCTGTGTCAGTTTATATTTGTATATAAAGATCTGATAGTGTAATGGTTACAAGTTGGGCTGCTAGCCTCAAGGTCAGCAGCCTGAAACTACCAGCTGTTCCGTGGGGGAAAGATGAGACTTTCTGCTCCTGTAAAGATTTACAGCCTTGGAAACCCTATGCAGGGTCGCTATGAGTCAGAATGGACTCCACAGCACATCACCACCACCACCACCACAGTCTCTTCAGCTCTGGGTTGGAAAACACCTAACCCCTCCGTTACCCACTGAATCCAGAATCCCTCTCTGAATCACCCTTATTACAGGTAGATATAACTAATAGTTGTACTGTCAAGTCAGTTCCGACATGCTACCATATTAATAAAAGGTTAGGCGTATGAAACGTGAACACAGCGCAGCAAAGAGAGCAATTAATTACGCTGGGTGAGAGGATGTGGGAAAGTCCAGACCTAACATTGAGGTGGTTACTAGAGATACATGTGTTGGGTTGGGTCAGACAGTGAACCTATATAGGGTTTCTGAGGAGCGGCTGATAAGTTTGAACCGCCGACCTTGCAGTTCAAACCGACCTGTAGCCCAGGGCATTATCCCACAGTGCCACACCAGCGACATATAGGAGTTTAGATAACAGAGAGAGGAGATACGAGAGAAGGCTGTGAGGTGAGAACACACAAGTAAATGGAATAGGAAAAGGTTCAGGTAAAGGAAGCACTGTGGTAACAATGGGGAGGTGAGTGAATGAATTGAATTGAATCTGGTAAGGGAAACTAGTGCCAGATTATGCAGATGAATTTTATTTTTATGGCAAAGGAATTCAACAGAAACAAAGAAAATTTTTACCCTCCAGGTCTAAAACATATCAAAAGAGGATAGAAATGATGTGTTTGTCCTACAATAGCTTTAAATCCTTCATTCTGCATCTTCATACAGCTTTCTGAGGATAGCTATAACTCTCTGTCTGCTCTAGCTCAGTAACTGCACTTCATGTATTAAACATAAGCAGATGCTGGCATAGCTACATCATTCTTTAGCCCATACCTAGCAATCCTTACCTGTCAGCTGAGCCAGCTGCTATTTTGCTTCCATCAGGTGACCAAGAACATCTCAGAAGATTCTGCAATGATGAATATGCAAGATTCACTGAATATAGCAATGTACCCAAAGTCTTTCTTACTAGACTGCAGAACCACTGTCAGACTTTACATTTTTAAAGTAGTTTTAATTATTCTCCCCAGAAAGATAATCAGCAATTATCATACATTTTTGTAGCTCAAAACAGCATACTTCGTTATTTCATACTATATGAAAACTATTTGTAGAAAATGCTTAACATACAGTTAATTAGTGGACCTAGCAATAAAATTTTCTGCTTACAAATGGAGACTCTCTTTACTCCACTTACCTTAATCCTCATTAATTTTCCTTCCTGTTTACCTTGAACAAAAATAAAAATAAAACCAAACCCAACAAAAAATAGGATTTGATTTATAAAGTGAATCAAAATGTTGATGAGATTTCAAATGAAAACAAAAATCTCTATTAACAATAAGGATTTACACTGGGGTTTCCCCAGTCAGCTTTTAATAGAGCTGACTTGGAAATCTGAAGGTCTGAAGGTTTGGAAAAAGCGTCTGTGTTTCAGAACTAGGGCTTCGGTGCTTACTGAGGGGAGAGATGTAGATACAGGACTGTAATAGCTGGCTACCGGGAGAGTAAAGGAGACCATCTGGGTAATAGCCATGGGAGGCTGGATTTCTTAGATGAACAATCATCTAAGAGGGTCAGTCCACGGAATTAAGAGGACAGAAGAGTCTTGTTGAGGATGCACTATATCAGAGATGACCATTTGAAGGCTGGTTCCACAATTTATGAGGGGGTTTAAAAAGTTTGTAGAAAAATTCCATTATTTTATCATTTCACTTTCCCCCTCAAAGTTTGAAGTCCCCTCATATATGATTCCCTTCCTCCTTAAGTGTCAAGTAGTTTTATTTCTGAACAGTTTTGATAAAGAATAGCATGACGGGGAAATAGCTTCCTCTTAGCAGAGCTAACTTACCCTCTATTCTTATCACCACTCTGTGCCATTCAGAACTCACCTTTTCAAAATTGTGCACATTTCCTTGAAAGATTTTCACACATCTCTCTTTGGGGGCAAATGGCCGGACATCCCAAACTCGCACTGTTTAACAAATTTAAACAAACCACAAAAACAGCTATGAGTCAAAGTTTGTCTGAGAAACCACTTACCTGGAATTAGTATGTCAATGACACAAATGACACATGCAATTTTCTGGTTGGAGAAGGTCCAATAGGTCATATGAGGCAATTTTACCAGGTTAAGAGTCTTTTTTTAGCAGGAATGAAATGCATCAAATCCCATTAATAGGAGTTAAGACACAGAGGGAAACTGAGAGAGGAAGAGGAGAAAAGTCAAACATACTACTGGGGGTTTGCAGTGGGAAAAAGTTCAGTGTGCCACAAATTTCAGAGAAACATTTTGCAGTAATTCCTCAGCCAAACGAAAAAGTTACATCCAGCAAAACTACAATATGACAATCTAAATACCAGTGGATACTATGACAATAAATCTCAAAAACCAAATTTAGCAGCGACCTTTCCAAATTTTGTAGTGACAGTCTAAACCTGAACAAAGTGAAATATATAAAGGGTGTGCACGCACGCACACATACATGTCTATGGAATCTTGGTATGGCTCTGTAGGATAAAGCACTAGACTGCAAAATCAGTTTGAAGCTCAAGGTTGGCGGTTCAGAACCACTAGCTGCTCCTAGGAAACCTTATACAAGGACCCTATGAATTGAAACTGGCTCCATGGCACTTAACATGAACAAATATATATCCAGAGAGACAGTAAGGCTCATTGTGTCTTGGTTACCTCATCTCTACACTGAAGTGAATTCCACCTATATTTTCCCTTTTCTTCTTCCTAAATATATAAGGATTTTAAGGATAAAATGCGACATACAAGGTGGTCTAAAAAAAGTTCATAGAGAAATTCCATTATCTTTCAATTCCTTTTTCTGTGAATCTTTTAAAGCCCTCTTGTATGTGAAAAGGTTTTAAAAGGTTGGGAAGCAATAATCTTATCTTTCCTCACTATGTAAACAATGCTAGAATTGGCCAATGGTAAATTCACTGCAATCAGGACAACTCAAACATCCATTATAAGTAGTAGGTACAGCTGTTGGAACTTAAGTTATACCTATTATGAAATTAAGGAACTCTGGTAGTGTAGTGATTATGAGTCAGGCTGCTAACCTCAAGGTCAGCAGTTCAAAGGTACCAGGCGTTCCGTGGGAGGAAAGATGAGGCTTTCTGCTCCCATAAAGATTTACAGCTTTGGAAACCCTATATAGGGTCACTAAGAGTCAGAATCAACTCCACGGCACACCACCACAAACACCATTATGAAATTAGAGTAATATTTTATTTGCCAGTGAAAAAAAGAATACCAACCCTAGGGGATCTGACAAGCCTAAAAAGGCAAAGGTAAGCACCAAAGTTTCTATTGAGCTGAGAATACAATAAAGAAGTAAGTATGCTCAATGAACAAGTACTTAGTGAGCAGCCACTGAGAGCTAGATCCTGTTTTTATGCTACAAAATGCACTTTAGTTCTTAACAATCCTGTGAAATTACATACCTGGGGATGTTTCCTAACTTCTCCAATATTAAGTGTATATTCCAACAAGCCACCTTCCTTTTTTGCTATCATGTTGTTGTTGTTAGGTGCCATCGAGTCAGTTCCAACTCATTGTGATCTTACGCACAACAGAATGAAACATTACCCAGTCCTGTGTCATCCTCACAATTGTTGTTATGCTTGAGCCCAATGCTGCTGCCACTGTGCCAGTCCATCTCCTTGGCGTTCTTACTCTTTTTCGTTGACTTTCCATTTTACCAAGCATGATGTCCTTCTTCAGGGACTGGTCCCTTCTGATATGTCCGAAGTATGAGAGACTAAGTCGCATTACTCTGGCTTCTAAGGAGCATTCTGGCTGTACTTTTTGCTATAGTAAACCCCTACAACTAAAAAAAAAAACAACAAAAGCTCAAAGTGTGTGTGTGTGTGTGTGTGTGTGTGTGTAAACCCATAATGTTGAAATGTTTTGAGGACTCTTTGTCACGCTGGTGTTTTTGGAATGGGGAAGGAACAGGCAAAATAGAGACATCAACAGAACAAATCTGTTTTGCAAGAAGTGCAACCAGAATGCTCCTTAGAAGCCAGGATGGCAAGTCTTCATCTATCCTACTTTGGACATGTTATCAGGAGGGACCAGTCCCTGGAGAGGGACATTATGCTTGGCAAAATAGAAGGACACTGAGAACAAGGAAGACCCCCAAAGAGATAGACTGTTACAGTGGCAGCAGCTATGGGTTCACATGTAACAACAACTGTGAAGATGGCACAAGACCAATCATTTTCATTTGTTTTATTCTGTTACGCACAGAGTCGTGTTGCGAGTTGGAACTGACTCAATGGCACCAGACAACACTATTGCCCAAGCTTGGTGGTCTCGGAAAAAACTTAAGAACTGCATTGGCTAGCACCTTGTAGGTTCATCTTTTTAGATAAACTAAGAGTTCTGTGTGGATCTGTAGCCTTGGGAGTCATAACATGCCAGACCTGAAATGGGTCTTAAAGTTAAAGTCTAATTTGTCTTATTTATTCAGTGTAAACATCAATGCCAGGAGAAAATAAAAGTTGTATGCAAAGCTGCGCACGACTGGATGGCAGATCTGGGTCTAGAATTCTGATTTCTAAAGCTATTCCCATATCATGTGCTGCTCCTGATTGCCCAGGTAAAAACCTGTGCAGTGTCCTTGACTCTTACCAGGGACCCTTTGTTATGCTGGCACACATTTCTGCCACATAATGCCCACTTTCCCAAAGTTACCTGTATTGTCCATTGCATTGGACAAGAGATAAGAGCCTTCAGAACTTAAACTCAAGCCAGTCACTGAATCTGCATGACCTCTCATGGTGTAGGTTAACTTGTTTTGACGCAGGTCCCAGACCTGCAAAGACAAAAATGTTCCCAAAAATCGAATTGAAAAGAGCAGAGAAAAAAGAGTTACTGAACAGTTAACTGCCTGGAGAAACTGACATCCCTTCTTAATCTGACTCTGGGCCAATTATTACTTTATTACAAAACATGGGATTTATGTCAGAGGAAAAAAAATCCCTTGCCTTTCTAAACAGGGAATCAAAAGTTACTGTCTGACTAGGTACATGAAAACTAATGAATGTCAAACATTAAAATAAAGCTTGGTGTTGTTAAGTGCTGTTGAGTCTGACCCATAGCAATCCTGTGTAGGGTTTCCAAGGAGCAGCTGATGAGCTTGAACCACTGATCTTGAAATGCAAATGACTCTGCAGTCTGACTGACGCATTAGCCCACAATGCCAAATCAGGACTCCAAGACAAAGCTTAAAACCCTCAAAAAAAAAGAGGCCATTTAAAAATACTCTTGTCTGTCAGTCTGTTGTAGTATGGTAGCTTGCGTGTTGCTGAAAGCTATGCCATTGGTATAACAAATGATCTTATGTTAAACAGAAAACAAATGGCTTAATAAGTTATGGTTTATAAACACATTGCAATACTTTGATTTCTCATGTAGGAGATTGGCAGAATTAGGGACACACTGAATGGGTCTCTGCTGCTTAGAGCTGTGTGTCACTGGGTCACTAGACCTTTCTATGCTCATTGCCAATCTGGAAGATGTAGATAACAATATCTACTTATGATGATTGTTTTGAAAATTACAATAGTATGCTTTCAGATATGCCTGGCCAATAGCAGGCCCTCAATAATTGGTATCTATTATTGAACACCTTCTTAAAGTAACTCTGAGGACCAAATATAAAAATGTTTATATAATAAGCTATTAAGCAAAAAGGAAAAATATAAAAGTACTCATATTTATATGATTTGCAATTATGTAAAACATACATTAAAGTTGAGAGAACTTATCTGGAAGGTCATATGAAAAAAGAACAAATATTTTGTCAAGGCTGTTATTTTACAAAACTTACCCAAAATTTTATTTAATAATGCCATGTAGTTTTTCTAAGTGAATTTTTTTTCCTGCTGTTTTTTTAAGTATTGCACATTCCTTCATCCTGAAAGGAATTACATCTATGGTCATACCACCCCAAATGTGCCCAATCTCGCCATAAGTAAATGAGGTATGTAGAGTCATTCATGTGTAAAGTCTACCATACTTTATACACAATCATTGTTTGTGTCAGGATGTCTGCTGTGTCAATAATCAGGAAAGTTAGAAAAGGCTGAAATCTAGTCCATGCTGCTTTCTTCTTCCTCTTCAGAGGACGGATTGTTGTGATTCTCAGCTTTCCACAACTATGAGAAAATACAATTTGCCATCTTCCACAGCACTTGTGCGCTATTTCCCTTTTCCAGACTTTCTTCCTAAGGCCGGTACCCCTTGTATGTGCAGGGCCAGGACACATTTGTGATTTGCCACAGAGTATGGCATTAACTGAAGTAAAAAAAAACAAAAAACAAAACCCCTCAAACTCCCAAACCACAGCCATCATGTTGATGCTGATTCACAATGATCCTATAGAGGGTCACAAGGAGCCCTGATGTGGTGCTGTAGGATAAGCATTGGATGCTAACCCCAAGATCGGCAATTCATACCCGTCAGCCGCTCCTTGGAAACCCTGTGTAGGGTAGCTGTGAGTGGTAACTGACAGCACTTTCAAACAACAACTGGAGTTCTAATCTGGGACTGTGTGATTGACTATGTGACCTTGACCAAACCACTCAACCTCTGAGGGCCTTACTTTAATGGTCTATAAAGTAAGGGAGGGATTAGAAGATCCATTTCAGTTTATACTTCAGTCAGAATATATACTGGGGGAGGATCAGGTCTGATAGTCCCCCGATACATATTCTGATTGAAAAAAAAAGTCTCTCCTTTGCATTTAATAAGAAATTTATGAGGGCCAGCAACTTAATTTGAGATAGTAAAACAACTGAAATGTCCAGTTATGTATATTACCTAATAAATTACTGAATCTTGTAATAATGATAATAGCAGTTGATATATTCTGAACACTTACCATGTGCCTACCACAATTATAACATTTTTTGCTTCCATTAATTTACATAACAACTCTACAAAATAGGCTGATCATTTCCTTTTAGAGATAAGAAATGGAGACTCAGAAAGGTTAAATACTTTTCTTAAGGTTACACAGCCAATAATTCAGTGGCAGAATCAGAAAAATGATCCTAACTACAGGCAGACCTTGGAGATATTGCAGGCTCAGTACAGACCACAACAGAACATCACAATTAAGTGAAACACATGAATTTTTTGGTTTCACAGCACATATACAATCTATGCTTATTTACTACATTGAATCTATTAAGTATGCGATGGTGGCGCTGTGGGTTAATGCGCTGGACTGTAAAGTTAGTTTGAACCACAATGTTAATGGTTCAAGCTTGCAGCTGCTGCTCAGAAACCCTATACAAGGTCGCTATGGGTCGGAATTGACTTGATGGCACTTAACACAAGCATTGTTAAAAGTTTGGAATATCTTGGTAACTGCTAAAATTTGACACAGAGACATGAAGTGAGAACATACAGTTGGTTCTGATGCATGGTTACTACAGGATTTCAATTTGTAAAAAACATAGCATCTGCAAAGTACAATAAAATGAGATATGCTTGTAATAGCACTAAAAGTGCTAAAAAGACCATAATGGGTGTACTACAAAGCAACTGGGAAATCCTCTTGGAAGAGGAAACATAAGCTGAGATCAGAAGACAGGAGTGAGACAGTCATGGGAATATCTGAGGAAGGGGCATTTCAGTCAAGTAACTATGTACATGATAATTAAAAGAAAAAATAATATAGGATTTTATCTGAAATGTGACAATATGTTTATATAAACAATACTATTGCACAGAAAAATATTAAAGGAAATACACTAAAATTTCAATGGCAACTGGACTCGGATGATGCAATTACAAGTGGTTATTTTTCCTAGTTTCTAAAATAATTTTTATTACTAAAACCAAAAACAAAAACAAAAAAACTTTCATTTTAACATTGTTTGTAATAAAGTCTATTCATTAACTATACATCTGAATACAATATTTACATCTCTGGAAAACTTTCAGAGTAAATAAAAAGGCGGAATAGAGAAGCCTCGCCTAATTTTTCGTTTGGAAACTAGTTATACAAACAGGGAGCCCCCAGGGCTGATGACAAGGAGGCAGTGAGTGATCCTGATCAGACACACACACAGGACGTCCCAGTCTCTGGAGCATTGTCTTAGAAAATCTCTTAAACCAATGTCTTTTAAAACATTCCCTGGAAACACAGCATTAGCACCAAAGTCTAAATGCTTGATGACTAAACACTTTTTGAATAATTTAGAAAGATAAAGATTATGAGGCTATGATGCATAAAGACCTGTGACAGAACAGCTTCAGTGGGAACAATGGAGGTAGAGCCAAAATACCAAGGGATGCTCAAGAGATAAGGAATGAATGGGAGATATGGAAGAGAGAGTGTGCAGACAAATCTCCAGGTGAGTTATCATAGAAGTGTGTAACAATGGAAACTAAACTATTTGGAATTCCATCACCCATCACTTAATAACCATATAACCTCAGTTCAGTTGTATTTCTCTATAGCTCACTTTCCATTGTGCCAATTCATCTCATTGGGGGTCTTCCTTTTTCTCTCTGATCCTCCACTTTCCCAAACATGATATCCTTCTCCAGGGGCTGGTCCTTCCTGATAATATGTCCAAAGTATGAGGGATGAAGTCTGGCCACCCTGGCCTCCAAGGAGCATTCTGGCTGTACTTCTTTCAACACAGATCTGTTTGTTCTTTTGGCAGTCCATGGAATATCAATGATGTTGTCTGATGATTTCTCCATTCTGTTGAGTCATCTCTCTTTGGAATGGGCACAAACATGGATCTCTTCCTGTCTGTTGGCCAGATACTTGTCTTCCAAATTTCTTGGCATAGATGAGTGAGCACCTCCGCTGCAACACTTTGTTGAAAGATTTCAATTTGCATTCTAGCAATTCCTAGAGTCTTATTCTTTGCCAATGCCTTCAGCATAATTTAGACTTCTTCTTTCAGTATCATTGGTTATTGATCATATGCTACCTCTTAAAATGGTGGAACACCAACCATCTCTCTCTAGTACAGTGACTCATTTCTTCCATCTTGTTTTTTCTTTTTAATGTTTCATTGTGAATTATGTGATAGTTTACATGGGAGAACAGTAGCTTTATATTCATCCTATCATATATCATTTCATTGCCATGGTTACAATCCCCTCCATGTATCATCAACCAACCAGAGGGTATACCCTGCAAGTCTGCCCCCTGGTCATTAGCAAA